TCCCAAACCATAAAGTTACAGAACTCTAAGACCTTATCTAAACTGGAGTCCCTCCGAAACTCAATTCCACTTCCAATAATTACAGACTAACACAAACCTCCCAACATCTACAAACCTGAAAACCAGATCAACTTGGTGAAATGCTGACAGCAGTCGCCAGATTTTTTGCTAAGTACATACTGTTACATGTAACTGTAAACAGAACATTTGCCTATCTGGAGCACATACACCTACCAACGCTCTGAATCCAACGCTGCAGATGATAATAAATTACATCCTTGAACATCATGTTCTGAACCTCCACAAAGCAGTAAGTATGGCTGCAAGGACTGCAATAATTAAACTCAGGAAGTTGACAATAAGCTCTTGAGGCTTCACTTCATTCCATTTAAATTTCCACAACATATTATTCAAACGTGATCTACTTTGTTAACAGCATAAAGAAGTGCCAAGTGAAAGTCTGCCAGTGTTGTTCATCAGCAATTTGTGGGTCTCTTAAGACTTAAGCTGTTAAATGAAACACGATGTGCTAACGCAAGATGCAGGACAGAAAGAGGCTTGGCTGCAAAGCGAGCAAGCTCCCAAGTGAACTACACTCATTTACATCACTATTTGCTGGATTAAAACCACTTCCATTTCTAAATTAATAATCTACCTAAAAGGAACACTTTGTTTCTACGTGCTCCTTGCAGCAAAGTGTTAAAATCCTACATTAACAAGCTAATAATTCATCACAACATCTGACACTAAATAATTTACAGATCATCATACTCACATGATGACTTACAGAAAAAAAAAAAGCTGCAGAGGAGTAGCAGAGGAATACTCTTCCAATCAAGAATGTTTTTTTTTTTGGTCAGAGTTGACTAACCAAGGTCTACAAAACTGTAAACATATCAAAACAAAACCACTCAACAGCAGCCTAAGTGCAGTACTTGCAAGGGGCTACTTATACAAAGAGAAAATACTCCCCTTGCTGTAATATTTCAGTGTGATACGAAAAGTGGTTATCAAGACACGAGTGCTGGGTATTCACTACACTTCATTGCACATTTATAAAAACATAAAGCACCCACCCAGACAGCTTCCTAGCTCAAATTGTGGCTGAGAGAACTGTGAAAAAGATGCTTTCAGATCAACTAGGCTACCACTTCAACCTAACTTCAAGTTGAATACAGTCGTTTCCACTTTTCCTCTACTTCTGAGTAAATAGAATCATTTAGTGCAAACATGCTTTCCCAAACTCAAATCATTCCTGCAGCTCTCTCCAACTGCCTGTGTGATGTGGAAATCAGACATGATATTCAGTGGTGGTTATAGTGCTGCATACAGAGACACCACTTTTCAGGGCTGTGTACCTTTTCCCTTTATCAGCTGCAGGGTCACGTTACCTCTTAAAATCATAGTACTCCATCAGCTCCATGACTCCTCTGACTTTCAGGAGGAGGATTTCCCACAATACCATTTAAGTGCAGCTTTCTTCAATCCTAGAGGCTTATCCTTGAAGTGGGATGCATGGAATTTGCTTTCAAAAGAAGCCAGACAGTCCTGTGACCCACGTTCACCTTGCGCTGCAGTCACACGGCTATGTGACACGCAGTGTGGTCATTTGACATTGTCATTTGAGAATGTTTGTTGCAATGATTTTATGAAAACAGATGAAATCACCAGCAAGTTTGAGAATTCTAGTGATACTAGAATTGTTAACTGTATATCAAAGCAAAGAATAAGAGGGACAGGATCATTTGGTCTGGCACCTTTGTATCAAAATAAGCAAAAAAAAAAAAAAAAAGAGTATCTTTAAATCCAAGATCCAAAGTCTCAGTTCCACAGGGTGAAGACAACAAACACTAGTTGAAGCTAGGGATTCTACTGAAAGCACACTCATCTTAAAAATCCAGCATGAAAAAATACATAGGAATTACTCTGCAAGATCCTGCATTCTTGCCAATTATCAAGGAAGAATGAGATTACTTTTCAAAGAAAATTGAGAGCTTCCATGGTAACAACAACAACGATTCTAAGTGTTCATGAACACAGATAAGCTTTTTTTGATTTATATCTCTGTAGTGCAGAAGAATAATTTTGTACGTTTAAATAAATGGTATTAAAGTGACTAAACCGTATTTTTTCAAAATGCCACGAGATGATGAGGTAAGTGTTTTGATTTGGGCAACAACTCACCACGGGTTGCACGCTGCTGCTCTCCAGCTTACTATCACAAAAAGTGACATGGAAGACACAGGAGAGCTCATCTTCAGACTGAAACTGGCACTGAGAGGCGAGCAAAGTGCTGTTCTCTAAGTGTCACATGCACTTACAGGGAGGGTAATGTCAAACCTTTCAAACCAGAAATTTTAATCTGTATATTCAAATTATTTCCAGTTCACTGATCACAAGAGCAACCTTCACATCTCAGGTATAAGTGCTGTTTTAAATGTAGCTGCAGGAAGACCTAAACCAGGACCTTTGTTTGGGCAGAAGGATATCACACTTCAGAACTTACTTTCTTCTAGGAAAAAAAAAAAGCACCCAAGCACCCAAAAAGATTTAACTGATCTTTGCCAACAGCACAAAAACCAGTGAAAGTGATGGTGCAGGGTAAACAGAACAGACCAGAGATTAACACTAAAGATTTCTCACTGTGCTTGAGCATCATCAAACAAACTTAAATTCACATGGTTTAATACAAGCCTTCAGTTGTGTAAATCAGTACTACAGGACAAAACACTTGCATGATTTTCCCCCAGCTTTTGGAAGCCTGACAAACAAGACTTAGTGATTCACATCAAGTATCTGTTGCTTTTTTCTGAGAACAAGCTTATGATCCTGATAGCACTTCTAAGAGCACACTGGGCATTCATACATGGATCTTCAACAGTGTGCATGCACCATGGCCAAGGTTTTGGATTTTATCTCCTTCAGTTTGTCTATACTGAAGTATCACTAGCTCAGGAGACGCACTAAAACTTGTCAGACTGACAAGTAAGGTTACAAACCATCATCTTTTCACATCATGTAACACCACCAACAGCATCTGCTAGAAAAATTCAGTCCTATTATGTGTGCAACTTTCACAAAGGTAAGGAAAATCTACTTGCAACTAAAGAAATAGCTCCTTATGAGTTGGATGTATACAAAAATTATTTTTGTCACTAATAAGCCGTTATGATTAAATGGGAAACAGACCTATAGAGTAATAAACAGTGCTTTTATACAGTTTTCACATAGGATGGCATTCTACCTTGGAAACTGAATTTTCTATCAACATACATGCTAATATATATAGTAAGATGATAATATCCCTGTTTCAGCCATACTTAAGAAAGCAACACAGCACTGTTCTGTTCCGTCGAAAAAGTAGGAACAATAGAACTTTTAAAATTACTAACAGAATATTTTCTAAACAGCTGTTTTCCTGCAATGGAATATTAAAGAAAAAATGGAATATGAAAGAGTAAATCCTATAAAGCTATTTATATTTTCAAAATAGGAAGAATGTGAAGCTAGCAATACTTACTGTATTAATTTACAACCAGTAGGTTTTTCAGAAAACTTGACAAGGGCGAGAAACTAGTCACATGAAACAAAGCATTTCAGAAAAAGGATTACTTGCCTCAAGCTGTTCATCTTCCAGGAGTTTTATAACCAGCCATCTGATGTCATTGACTGCTTCTTCATTGTTGAGAAAGATAAAGAGATTGTAGAAGACCATGGTCTGGAGGTAGGTTAGTACGGTGTACCTAGCGTGCCAAGAATTGCTTCTTGCTGTCTACGAGTGAAAACAAATAGTAAAAGAAGGTGAAGGGAAGCAGCTGTCTGATGTAAGGCTAACAGTATTTAAGAAAAAGCTTTTGGGGAGAGTTGCAAATAACTTTCCTTACTCAGCTGCTTTTGCTCCAGACACTCTTCAATTTCCAAAGCGCACAATTATTATTTAAACAATAATTTATTACAGGCTCAACTTCCAAAGCATACTGGTATTTAACATATCTAATACCGTAAAAAAACAAAATAGGCAAGGTTTTCCCTTTGATTCTTTCCTGACAATAGTCATAAGGCAGATTAAACCAGAAATTCCCTTCTGCTGGAGTACATCTATTCTACACAATGATTCAGAGAGTCAACTTTTTACAAGTTCCTTTACTTTGAACTCCACGTGCTCATGGAAGTCTGAATTATTGAAAGCACCAGGCACAAGCCCAGCCTGGCTTGCAACACTGCAGTTGCTATTTTGGCTGTGTGCACAGCTTGCAGCAACATTTTGCAACAGGTAATTTTACTCCTGTAGATCAGTCTTGAATGACCAGAGGAAAAAAATGCATTTCTTGCATGACACACTGTCTATAGAATGAACCACTCAACTCAAGAGTGCATTTATATTTGGGTTGTTCATCAGAAAGCAGTAGCAGTTGATAAATACACTGTAAAACTATAAAAAGGCAGTTCTTTCTGCTGACTCATTTTGAAAGTAGATTTTGAATTGTTATGCTCACGAGGAGACATGTTTGGCTTAAAGTGATCCACTACTGAACCAAATTTTACTTTATTAAAATACTGTGCAATTTCTTATCAAAATAGAAGTTGTTTTAAATGTTTCGAAGCAGGAAACTAAATAAAATATATTTACTCTTTCTAAGAATGTTTTAAAACACTTCTAATAAACTCTTTCCTCTCACCTTTAAGAAAACCAGTATTTGATACTCTTCGAATCACAACTATTGTATAATCTTAAAAAAAAAAGGCATAGAGTGCATCAGATAATAAGAAACTACGTTATTTAGACTATACTCACTTGTTTTAGCACCTGAAGTACCAAAGGCACTTGCTGAGGATAGAGCAAACCCTGAGACATTAACGACAAACACATCTTAGCATCTCTTTTGAGCTCATCATAGCTATTGTCGTTTTCTACTGGTGCAATCTATAGAACAAGATAAGAGGCGGGGGGGAAATAAATAAATAAAAAGGCTAATGTTAGGAAATGAGCATTGCTAGCAGCAAAATCCTGAAAGTAAGTTTAATCCCACGAAAGGACAGTCGTCTAGGGAAAAATACAATCAATATAATGCTGAAAGATTAAGTTAACCAGGAAAAACAATCAATGTAACATTAAAATAGTCTCAGCAACAAGCTGTAGAAAAAAAATCAGAAAAACAGAATCAAGAGATCCTTGTTCCTTGCACCATATATTATTTATCTAAACAGTATGGCTAGTCAGAACCTCGTAAGGAGAATTAAGTGGGTGGCATTAAGACTTTGGTTCCCCATTGCAATTCTTTTGGTATCAAATCCAATTAATTTAATAGTTTAGATGTAGGTCCAAAACTGAGAGAAAGCTTTATCGGTATGTCAAGTTCATTTTCACATAAACAAACCTTTTTTTGGTGCTCATGTGCATTATTGTTGGAAAATCAACTGATGTTTACATAAAGTGAGACATATGCTTTGGAGCATGCAAGTATGTATTATTTCAGGTATGTAGCACTGACTGACCCAGCTTCATAAAAGAATACAAGGATTAGAGGTGCCAGGAAAAACGAGAGAAGTACCACCATTTAGAAAGAATTGTATAATCATGGAACAAAAAAAATCCAACTAAGTATCAGAATAGAAACAACATACATGAACTAAACACTCTTTTCCCCCCCAAGTTACACATGTACAGGGCATGCACCTACAAATCATTATTGTCAGGAAATCATTTAACAGGTGAGATTACCAGCTGTAAACATACATAACAATAAACCCCCGCCATGGGCCTCTTCAGTATACATGTTTTTTATTACCATTATTTGTTTTCTTTTTTATGCATGTTTTTTATTACCATTATTCATTTTCTTTTTATTTAAAAAGTCCCTTATAACTTTGGTTTATATACAGAATTTCTTTTTAATCAAACATGACTAATAAAGGAGAAATTAAAGCATATACCTTGAAAAATAAGGGCAAAAGCTGGAGTTGCTCTGTGACAGCTGTAGAGAAGGACCGTCCTGCACTTGCCATCAACCACTTCAGAACTGTTTTTATAAAGAGAAACGAGCACTGATTAAGAAGATGGAAAATAGTAATAATTCCAAAACAAGTCATAGACCAAATTTATTGCAAATTTTCACAGGCTAGAGTGGACCTATACTGGTAGTTAAGTTTGAGCCTGTAAAAGTGACTTTTTTATAAACCTCAACCCTAAAACAACAGCTTGTTGCAACGCAGATCTGAGAGGTGAACCCGTGTACTGCAACTGTATGATTTGCAGACCTCAACCATCATGTCCTAGAACACCTCCCATTTCTTAGCCTTCTTAAGGAACTCACTAGTTTTCAAGAGTTTAATGCCCTGAGTTCGCTCATCTTGTTCACCAACTCCATTCTCTTCCATCACGTGATTCTGAATTTCTTCGTCTGCTTCCATGAGGGGTTTAAGATTTTCAAGTATCCGGGTAGTAAATTCATGGACACGAGGAGATTTAGTTGCAGCAGTATTTGGCAACGAAACATCTATCATGAATATGTAGGTCAAAACACTAAAAAAGCAAACAAAGCAAGCAAGAACATACAGTTAGCACGACTACTGTCCAGAGAACATAGCTAGAAGTGATCTGAGGTCAATGTGCTCAACTTTGAGGTCTAATACTTACAATTTCCTCTTATTCTCACTTCAAAGTTATTTAAAAACAAATGTTTTTCAAATACCCCCCGTGTAGATACTTGAATCAAGCAGGGTTAGACAATCATTAAGCTACAACGCCCCTTTCCTCCAAGCAGATCTGCAACTAGCTTTTAAGTCACTAGAATGCTCTCTAAAGGACTCCCTGCATATTTAGGGCATAGAACACAGTAAATTTGGGTTGTGGTGTTGGTTTTTGTGGGGGTTTTTTTTGGAGGGGAGGGTGGCAGGTTCTTTTTTTTTTTTTTAAGAGCTTTAGAGAGATATCATACATAAACATACATATGTCCCCATCCCTGGATGTGTTTAAGAATAGGGTGGATGATCTACTTGGGGATATGGTTTAATGGGGATTAGGGATGGTTGGACTCGATGATCTCTAAGGTCTTTTCCAACCTAGAAATCTATGAAATAAACATGACAGGTCATCTACAATAAAAGACAAAAATAGAGAAGTCACCTGCAGCTTCTGAAGCAAGGCTGTTGACAATTTATCTGATTTCTATCACCAGTATTAGCACAGAGAGATAAGCAGTCACTGCTTCAGCGTAATTATTTAGATACTCAATTACCCAAACAAAACAAGGAGGAAAAAAAAAACCCCAAGAGCTGCAGAAGAGAACACTGACCTTCCTATTCTCTCTCGGACGTTCTTGTAGACCTGGGTGAGCTTGGGTTCCAGGTACTTCAGCAGTCTGTGCAGCAGCTCTGGCACTCTCCACTCCTGCTGTGCAAGGCCACCTTGCAGCACGTAGAGGCGGCTAGGAAGCAGAACAACTTCTCTTTACCCACAGAAAATTGTTCCTCCCCTCCCCAGCCCCCTCCAAGCCGCGTTTTGCAATGTTTTGTGTGTTTTCTGTGTGTCAACGCATAAAAGTGTCTTTGTGTGAGCTGCATGCAAAGATGGGTCAAAATTGAAGTGTGACAACAGTACTGCTGCTATGCCAGTTCCAAACCTTCACATTCTGTAAACTACATTTAATGACACTAAAAAATAATAATGAAGAAACTCCTACTGTGCAGGGAAAGCTAACTGGAAAGCAGTGCTTTTGTTCCCTGCTTCTACAAGCCAGCTGGCACGACACACTCTCAATATGTTTGATCCATGCCTTATTTCCTTCTTCATTCAGCCACAAGGAAACAGTCAAAATTTATTTTACCATGCATCTACAAACGATCCTCCTTCACCACTCAGTGGAGATTCCAACAGCAATTCAAATAACCAGTGCAGTTTCCTAGGATCTCTGCTCTCCTGAAAATCAACAAGCACCAGAGATATAAGCAAATTGGGGATTTTTAAAATGTACCTAAGGCATAAACTAGGAAAGTTTTGACAGATTTTCTTTGCATCCCCTGGGTTTATTCTATTAAGCACGAGCAAAGTTAAATATCTTTCCACAATGAACCTCAATAGGAGGAAAATCCAATGAAACTCCAGGCAGTTTTAATTATTTGGCAAACACAATGTTAAGAATAGAAGGAATTTTAGCTTAATTTTTGACATATACAAATAACCTTGTCTGAATTTTTCTAATTGCTTGCCAAGGTTCTGCTGGCTGACAAACTATGCTGAATTTTTCTGAGTGATTTCAAAGAATTACTGATTCAAGATATTTGTAGCCTATCATTTACCCTGCTTCTCAGAAACCACAACTTCCAGTCCACCACAGCGTACAGAAATTTTACTGTATGTTACGATATAACTTGAGACTTAGTTTTCGCAGCACAATGTTAAGCTGCAAACTTTTAAAGCACGAACAAACGTGTAATTTGAGTTCAAAAACTCCCACGAAAGTTGAACACAGCAAGCATACACATTAACATCATCCACTAACCTTATACAGATCTTCTAAAATACTTAAAAGGAAAACTAAGGTTTTATTTCCATCCTAAAGTGTTGTACTTAACTGTCTGCAAAGGGCAGAACAAATTTCCAGAAAAGCTATTTTAAATAAATATTATTTTTTTTTATACTGTATTTACAGTTCTCAGTTTTAGCTGATAAAATAAACCCAAATACCTCGGTTCCTAAAGCTCTTTTTTTACATACTCTCTGTAAAACTTGCCCATCTGGATAGAGCTTTACAAGCCTAAAAAAAGGGGAACTTACACAGGAGGTTGCTATGCACGTGCCCCAGTCATTGTACGTTTCCACTGTGATGTTGCACAAAGCTGTTCGAAGCAATGGACAGAGAAGCTCCCAAAGTTTTTCCACCTGCTCAGAAAAAAGGCAAAATACATGATTTGGCTATTTAAGGACAAAATGGCTGTCTAATCTTTGTGAACCTTAATCCTTTCACCTTTTCGAATCATGGAAAAATAATACTGTTTCTGGGAGCAGCTACAGTATGATATCTATAAAAGGAAACCAACACCATCAGAATTAAGATGTCAGGAATCATTTAAATGTTGTTTACAAGGTGTTTTGAAATACTGTGGACTACTTATGATTGTACTTAAATCACCATGAAAATGATGTATATCAGGGACTGCATGCACTTTGCTTTTGGTAGGACAGGAGTCTTGTACACCCCAAGGAGTTTCTGTTTCTCTCCTAAATTTGAAAATTTCTTCTTTATTTTTTATTAAGGAAACCATTCTCCCAGAACTACTTTTCAGCACAGAAATCCATTTAAAGGTAATCTAGACAGCTAGGTCTAGTCAAAAGATGTAATAAACTTGGAAAATTACAAACCACATCAGCTTTCCTGTCTCCTTACCAGCAAACTGTTCTCAGTTTTAATCCTGAAGCGTTTTACTATCACCTACTATTATACAGGCACCAAACCAAGCTACGAATTGTGCTCAAAGTCTGGCAACAAAGCACTAAGTGTTGCAACTTTTCCCAGTTCTTTCTTGGAAAAAGGTGACATTAAAAGCCTTCAACTTCATACGTTTAATTTGTTTAATAGTTCAAACTTATGTCTTAACTTCCATGAATCACTCAAAAATACTACTTTAGCACCTTCTCAAACGTCCAGTGTTTAGAACCTCTGATTAAGCCAGCTATAATTTCAGCTACACATCTCTGGGTGCTTTCGTGAGAGTCTGCCACAAGTTGTTCCAAGTGAGGCTGAAGAACTGGCAGGAAGGCATCGTCGAAGTTTCTGAAAAGGCCCTGTAAAACAAGATGTGACAGTGTCTCCAGTACCCATCCATCTCAACCATTGTCTTTGTAAGAAGAACACCAGATGGTGAAGTGCTGGAGATCTGAATCTGCAGAAAGTGAAATTACTCTGCCTTTATAACCAAATTATATACAACTGTCCTACGTACTTTTATATTACTCTAAATATGTTTCCCTGTGTAGCTAATCAGGAGAGAAGATTAATCACAGCAGCATACCTTTAAAAATCAACATTTTGCAACAGTGGGGTATAAGTGAAGAAGTGTATGGCTCTTGCACGCTTTGATAATTATCTACAAAAAGGAAGCAATTTAATTGTTGAACTCTAGTTACCTTGAAGAGGCAAAATCTGCGAGGATTAAATTTGTCTTTTCCTTTTCTGTCTTCTAAAGACAAAAATTTTATTAACTGTTCAACAAACTTGGGATCAGAAAAGTGATCATATATAATTTGTTCTGCCTGTAATAGAAAAAAAACAATGTTAGCTTTGCGGTGCTCGATTGTCACAGTGATATCTCAATCTTTCCAAGCCCCATTTTTCATTTTAATTCTATTTTTGGCAAAAATCATGCCTAGGTTATCCATTTTTCCCCTCGTATATAGAGAATATTGGGTAATGTTTTGCAAGACTCCTGACTTATTTTCATTAATGACTTTGGATTGTCTTTCCTTTCCTTAGTACAACCCCTACGAAGTAGTCATTCCCACTGGCATTAATCCTAAATTCTGATAAAGATTTGAAAGAGGACAAGAAAGTGCTCATTAATACAATTATTCCATGATCGCTGAGACAGAGAAACTGCAATACATTAAAATAATATTTTTTTTCTTGTATGCTAACAGTAAATACGAAAATGAAGTAGAAAAATACAAATTTTTTTTCTTGTATGCTAACATAGTAAATACGAAAATGAAGTAGAAAAATACAATTAAAAATGTCTTGTGGGGATCTAGGTTTCTGAACAGTTATCACTTATTGCTTGTTAAAACCATGAGTATATCCACACAGCCATGAAACTGCGTAGTCGAGTTCAATCTCCATCTTAGTTTGCAATCACACAAAACCAAATCTGTTTCCACACATCTGTGTAAGCACTCTCTAAATGGCAAGCAATACTTAGGTTAAAAAAGAGAAGGGATAATACTACTTCTCTTCATAATAAAAATTGAAGAGAAGTAGTATTAAAAAAATTATCCACAAAACAAACACGCTGAAACCCTTACCTCTGTCAGCTCGTCTCGCCTTCGCCCAAGCTTTGGTTGATGCTCAACTGGAGCGTAAACTGTCATAGTTCTGAATATTTAAAAAAAAAATAAATATATAGTAACACATGTTTCAAAGTAAAATAAAGCTTATGATAGTCTTCTATATTCTCTATATTCCAAAGGATTTATCAACTCCAAAAGAGCAAAACTTTAAATTTACAGCAAGAAAAATCAAGGTTTTGCTACAGCAAGCAATCCAGAATCATTAGTGACAGAATACTCTGCATATTTCACAACTGTACAATTTTAAAGCTTCATTTTAAAACCAACAGCCATTAAAGAGCCATATGAAATACGTGCCTATAGCAGCCACGAAACCCAAAGAGAAGCAGGTAGAAAATAAATAAATAAAAAGCACAACAACAACAACAAAAAAAACACAAAACCCACCCAGAAGTAGTAAAACAAGCAAGGAACACAAAGGACAAAATAAAATGTATTTTTTTTTTGTTTCAATTAAAAAAATTCAACCTAACAAACATTACTTCATTTCCCACAGGGTTTTTGCTGCTGCCTCTGACAATTTTATGTTAATACTCAATGATACTCACCGAGGCCAGGCATAGTACCCCCAGTGTGTTTTCTCCACAAAACAACACGACTCCCAAGCTTCCTTAGTCTTTGGCAAACTCCGACTGTCGTAGTGCAGCCACTGGTTATCCGGTCTGTCACCAGCCTGAATGCTGGAGGGCTTAGGGCTTCCACCTGGTTAAAGAGGAATTCAGACTCTCTCCAACTGGGTCATTACCAGTCCCAGCAAACGTTATGACTTACTTGTATTAAAAGATTCTAAAGAGCTTTTATGTCTCCCTCCCTCCTGTCAAACCTGCACGGAGATTTGCTCCAGGACATTAAAAGTAACACTAATATGTTAGATTCAGGTTGGATATCAGGAAAAAAATTTTTACCATGAGAGTTGTAGAACACTGGAACAGGTTGCCCAGAGAGGTGGTGGATGCTCCATCCCTGGAGACATTCAAGGCCAGGTTGGACGAGGCCCTGAGCAACCTGATCTAGTTGGAGATATCCCTGCTCCTTGCAGGGGGGTTGGACTAGATGACCTTGGAAGGTCCGTTCCAGCTCTAACCGTTCTATGATTCTATGATTCTAATAGAGAGGAAGTAGTAATAGAAGAGATTCCTTTAGTAATTTATATAAATGTGCCAACTGAAATTATTAAAAAAAGAATAAAAAGGAGACGTACAAGTTATTCTCACAAATCACTAGGCTTTCTGAAAGCAAAATGACCTTATCTTTGAAGTTTTAGCTCATTTCAAGTCAGTGAACAGCTTAATACACACTTGCAAGTATAACACTGATTAATTAAAAAAAAAATCCACACACTGAAAAATGACCAATTCTATTACCTATTTTGTTTACTTAGGACATTAACAACCACAGAGAAATGAAAAGCTTGTAATTCTATGTTTAATCTAACCAGAAAAATATGCCTTAATAAAATTTTAGGATAAAAGTAAGACATTTCTTATATTAAATAAAACCTACTTATTTCATAAGGGCAGATGGGCACTTTCTTGTGTGTTCTCTTAAGCTGCTTAAGAATACCAGCCACAGCTGAGATGGCCACCTAGAAGAAAGAAATGACCATTAATGTATCCATTCCATACACTTATCTCCAGAAGGATGGGTCGAATCATCTCACCACAGACACATTTTGAGCCAACTACTCAGCCCCCTAATAAGCCAGTGAACATTACAGTGAATTTGTCATCCCAGTGGCTGATACTTCCCACAAAGCAGCAGACTCAGTCATTTCAGGGGATACAGGACATGACTTAAGTGTGACCTTTATAGTCCACTATAAAAAAAAAAAAAACAAACTAATCACTTTCAGGACAAAAAGAGGTGGCCATTAGTTTCAAGCCTCGCTGAGGCAACGAGCAGAACAAAAAGGTGCAAATAGAACGCACAGAGGGCTCCTTCCAAGTAATAAGCTGCAGATGGAAAACCAGACATCTGCAAGAGGATTCTGAAGTCAGCAAGAACAAATAGGGACGTTCTGCATCTTCACAGTTTGTAGACTTCACATCACACGTCATGGCCTCAGCACTGCCAAGCCCATCACTGTCTTGGATCAGGAGCTTTTGTGCACGTGCATGGCTGGAAGGGTGAGAAGAGATGTCCACCCCAGCCTTGGATCAGGAGCTTTTGTGCATGTGCATGGCTGGAAGGGTGAGAAGAGATGTCCACCCCAGCCTTGGATCAGGAGCTTTTGTGCACGTGCATGGCTGGAAGGGTGAGAAGAGATGTCCACCCCAGCCTTGGATCAGGAGCTTTTGTGCATGTGCATGGCTGGAAGGGTGAGGAGAGACGTCCACCCCAGCCTTGGATCAGGAGCTTTTGTGCACGTGCGTGGTGGAAGGGTGAGGAGAGACGTCCACCCCAGCCGTGGTGCTGTATCATGGCACAGCACCACCACACCTCATCTAAAACCTGATGAGCTGCAAACGACACGATGTAATCACATGCTGGTGTTACCTTCCGAACTACAATTGCGTCATGGTTGAGACACTGCACAAAGAATTTTATGGCACGGACAGGCAGGATCCTGTCATCCCTCAGGAGCAGAGACAGGAAACCAATACTTATGTGCTCAAACTTCCAGGGACTAAAAAACAAACAAACAAAACCATTTCAAAACAAACAATATGTAGCAGAGTTGCACGTACTGCTTTTGCACAGAAATGATTCTATGGATTAGGATTATGTAAATATGTTTTGGGCTAAAGTAAGTAATGTTCTATGCCACTGCTGCAGTCGATGAGCTTAACTATCATTTAAAGAAACTTCAATTTGTAGGAACGCACCAGTGCTACCAAACACATTCAGTTAATGGTGCCTTTTTGATCTTGGCATTTCAATGCAAAATCCAGACCTATAGGGATATTCTTTTACGGTTTTTCAAGACAAATATTATGCTACTAATTAAAATACATTCAGATGTCAGTATTATGCAGACAGCACCAGAGCTTTTTTCCTAGAACAAAAAAAAAATATTAAAAAAATAACAGGTTAAACTAATTAACGACAAAGCTGAACTCCAAGACCTGATGATACTTTTTATTAACAAAACAAGCTCCCAACGAAAACAAATTCAAGACTCATTCAATTCTTTACCTAGGAGATAGTAATGCAAGATTCCCCTACATTGGCTTTTATCTTCCTGTTTGGGCAAGCAGAATTCATATGCAAATGCATGAAGACCTCCAGAAATTCAGTTTTTGCTGATACCTCTGCAAAAACTCTCCAAGAAGCTAGCCACAATCCATTTTATGTGAGACTGCTACTGACAAACTGCTTTGAGGGTGAAAAACATGTCTCAATTCTGGTCATGCTAACTACACTTCTTGATGCAATTAATATTTATTCATTTAGCCATCTCCAATCCACCCCCAAAAAAATTCTCATACACAGAAAGGAAGACTTACAGATTTCTTTGTTCCACACAGTCCAGCAACATGTTGACCAAATTCTCATAGTTTCTGAGGGAAAAAGAGGGAACCATCAATGGCTCGAGAGAGTAATTTAAAAATAGAATAAAAGTTCCTCAACAAAAGGTGGGTGAAGGCAATGCATTAAACAGAGGACAAACTGGGAGGACAGTGAAGAGGAGGAAGGAAGGAAATACGAGTGTGAAGGACAGAGGCTGCCAAGTCAACAGAGAAGATAAACCACAAAAATCCTTGCACATTCTGAATTCCTTGAGCTTAAGATTTAGTTTAGTAATTTTGGGTTATGACATGTAATGCACAGTAAATATTAGGCAGTGCAAGCTGGTGTTCCAAAGGAAGTTTAACTTACCGCAGAGCCTCAGCATTCTTTTCTTTCTGTCGCTGAATTCCTAACTGAATTTCTTCTGAGCGAAGACCTGTGAAGTTTGAACTTGGATGTTCTGATTTTTGCAGCATGACAGCTATTTCCACACATTTCTCTGGAACCTGTTGACAGACAACGCAAAGATTTGGGACTGAGCAGCAACATGCAAGTTCTACTGTTTGTTTCTGTTTTTAAATAAGGAGAGTTGAGAATCCCATGAAGAGTGCAGAATTTCCTGTGCAGACAGACAAGTCCATGAAGAAGTAGGGAAGACAGCTTTTGTGTTCATGCAGCAGAATTATTTCTCCATGTAAATGTTTTATTCTATTTTAAATTAAAACTTTAGTACTTCATTAGAGTGTAAAAATTGTTTCTAAATTGTATATAAATTGGCACTCATTCTTTAATATAAGTACCATGCCATTTATCCCACTGATTAGGCGAGAGGCAGTTGTGCAACAAGTGCTTTATTAGCACAGTGGGACAACACAAATACTGACAATGTTATTAATTTGATGACATTATCTTACCAACACACGTCTTCACACCTGATCAGATGACCCATACTAATTTAGGCAACTTAGATTTCCTTTCCACAACAAGCTTCCTTAGAGGTTAACAAAATTACAAATTCCAATACTATAACAGGAAGCTCTCAAAAATACAAGTCTACATTCCTTTGGAACAGAAATCAGAATGGGATCAACATCAGAACAGCAATTCAAGTAATAAATACACGAGTCTCAAGAGTTTATCCCCAAGTAGTCTGTCACTTACTGCAAAATCCAATCCAATCGTTTCATACTGCCTATGGATTTTTTCTGCTAGGTCATCAAAGAGTCTAACTATGGATGGTTTTTCCAAGGACATAGCTTTGCTAAGCCCAGAAGAAACAATCGCTGGCCATGTCTGCGCAATACAATCCCAGTCGTGAAGATTTGCCAAACATACTCCACTGTGATTTCCAAGAAGGCAATATAAGGCACCCTGTAAAATGAAAAATGTAATTTTAGAAAGTTAAAGCATTCTTCATCTATACATGGTATCTATCTACATCAGCATGCACCCACACAGAAAAAAAAATTCATCTTCAGGTTACCAAATCATTAAAATGAACCATAAACATTCAGCTACGTGGTCTACTTGTCAAAATACTGAAGTTTTCACAGAGTCCTCTTCGTGCTAAAGAGCAGTTTTAACGGGACTGGAAGCCCTGCCAATTGATTTATCCACAGAACAGCTGACTGACCCTCCAATTACATTATAACAGAGACCATTCCGTGACTGAGGACCACACCTGGCCCTTCCGTGAACTTATTCATGTTTGGGCTGCAGGCAAATCATCAGGCTGTTAACTAAGCTAAGACTGTATCAGAAATACCAAATTCAGGTATGGCAGCAAATGCTTTAAGCGTAGCAAAATTGGGATCAACTGGGAAGAAGCAACTAGGTGTGGGTTGCTTATCTGGGAGGAGACAGGGATGGAAGAAGGGAGGTACAAGGATGGCAGAAAAAAAAAATCAAGTTACAAGAAAAGGGATAAGAAGATACACAAACAACATAATCACACGCTGTCTGATAGTAGCTATCAGGCAGCTGGAGCAGGATAATAAGCCATGGCTGTTGTTCTGACCATACAACAAGAGTCCAACTTGCCTCTGTGGCCAGGGGGACTGACAGGGAGTGCAGAGGAAGGAGGGGAGTGTGATGCTTTCAAACACCTGGATGGATAGATTGCACTCTGGCATCACTAGGTCAGCACCACTTCCAGGCCTGGCAGCACCAACAATTACCCAGCAGTTCATAACAAAAACCACCTGACTTAGAACAACTTTTTTGGGTGATCAACTTTTTGTCTGATTCACACTGTTTTCTCACACTGCTGCAGCTGACAGAACTGCTTAAAGAGTTTTACCACCTTGGACTGTATTTTCTCAACTCCCATTTTGTAATTTAAACATAAGTGTTAATATACATTTTGTAATACCTGAACACACAAAGAAATGAGGAACATATAAGCACAGAATTTCTCTAGACAACTGATCTAACCCAAATAACTCTTCTGCATGACTAGTGTAAGGCTCTGCACGATTCTTTATTTGCCATTAAAATATGAGCCACGATAATGAGTGAGCACATCTCACTTTCACCATAAAAAATTCTCCTATGAAGACAGACACGAAACAAAGATAACGAGACCGTACTTTAAATTGCTTTTGAGTGACATCTTGCCGGTCCGGGCGCAAGAACTCCAAAACCAAGGGAATAATATCTCTGCAACAAAAATTGTACGTTCCCAGAGCTGTGAAGAACGCTTGCTGAGCTTTACTTCTGACCTGTGGGAAGAGAGGCTATTACCAGGAAGTCTTCTGAACCAAAAATATACTACACAAAAATAACACCCTTATCCATTCCAGTTACTTATGCCCAGAGTTTACATGATGTATTTGTGCACAGAAACAAAATTATTTATAGAAGGTAGTAAATAGCCTGCTTCCCCTCACCCTTGCTCACAGCTGTTGATAAAAATCTACTTCTTGTTTCTAGCATTCACTTGAGAACAGCTACAAAGTTAGTGAAAATTCTTCAGTGTTCCAAATAGCGGCATGAATCATAGCATCACATCTAAAAACCTCGCCCTGGTATATTTTTACTAAAATTTTTCACTGAATTACTGTTTTTAGAAGCCTAGAGTTAAGTGCCTCAAAAAATTTAAAATTTCCAAACTAAGTTAGCAGCCTCTCAACCTGGTAAAGTTTTTTATTTGACAAAGAAGGGGTTTAAAGCAAAAACTGCCAAAATTGGCAACTAAGGCAAATTAAATAAGTAAATATTTCATGTTGCCATGGAAATAAACTGAAAAGCAAAGATCCTGAAAACATAACTTGAAGAGATCAACAAAAAACTCCGTATGTTTCATTTTAAAAGGGGTTGTTCTTTACCTGACCATATGAGCTTGTGGACAAACACAGAAGATCTCTGATCATCTCCTGGTGGGAGGTTTTATATTCACAGCCTTCCATCGTTAGTGTTCTCAGCTGAATTGCAGAGAAAACACAAATAAAGGACAGATTGTTTTTACATTTCACACGGGTAAGAGAAACGCTAGGGCAGGATTATTGCATCTTCTGCTAAATGACAACATCACAAATTGTCTCTTCAAGTCAAGTAGTTAGTGAAGGGTTAAGTGAAAGTATTACCTCATGCTGCAGCATAACTCTGTCTATCAGCAAAGCTCTAATATGCTGTTTCTTTCCTTGAAGCTGTAAACAAACACAGAATTTGGTT